AGCCTTAGTGTTCAGGGCTTTTATTGGCTAGTCCTGGATGGTAAGTTAAATCATGCCTCCTGACATTAGTTGATACAGGCTTCCCAGGCGAGTTTTTTCTGGTCTGGTCAGCCCCTACTTGCCAGCACAAATTCTCAGGCATGGCCTGGAAGCTGAGAACAAGGTACACCAATTACTCCAAGGGTAATTTCTCTGGAGCTAAGGATAAAGGCCATCTTACTTAGGGTAAAACTAGGTCCTTTACCCCACAGCCTACCTTCGTAGAATACTCAACTTCACTTGCCATTCACTTCTAGGTACAAATGGTTGACTTTTAAGTCTACTACTCCAGCAAATACACCCTTAACAAAGTCACAAATAAACCATTCTTACTAAATCAAATGAACATTTTCCAATTCTTATTTTACTCTCTGTTCCTGTACCCAGCAATTAAATACTAATGTTCCTTAAAGTTTATTCTGTTGTTTTTTATTTCCCTCTCTTTGTAAGGTATATATTTCATTGGTGACTTTTATCCAGTCCTTTGGCGTCAACTCTCACCATGTACTCATTAATTCCAAATCTATCTTTCATCTAGAGATCCTTTTCTCACATAGCCTACCTCATATTAGACATCTCCACTTGGATACTACATGGGTATTTAAAATTAAACACATTTAAAACAGAAAAAAAAAAAACAAAAACAAAACTCTATCATCTCTCATCCTCCAAAACCACAACCACAACTGCAAAAATTCTGCTATTTTTCCTTTATTCCCTATCCTCCACCATCCACAAGGCTGCTCAAGGCAGAAACGTATTAGTCATGTTTGATTCTACTCTTCAACCTTCCTTCGTTGCGTCAATTCTACTCCTTTATAGTACCTCTTGATTCATCCCATTCTCTTTATCCCAGTTACACTAAACCATTTTCTTTTAGCACAATTTTAACCAATTCGTAACTATCAAATATGATCAATATGTTATGTCCTAAAATTTTTCAATTGCTGCCTATTTCTCACATCCTTAAGGAAAAAATTTTCACAGTCTTCATAAACTTCTCCAGTCTTCTCTTGGCCTCTATAGGTTGTTGTTGTGTGCTGTCACGTCAATTTCGACTCATAGTGACCCCATGTGACAGAGTAGAACTGTCCCATAGGGTTTTCTATTTTCAATCATCTTGTATGCATGCGAAAGCTGGGCAATGAATAAGGAAGACTGAAGAAGAATTGATATCCTTGAATTAGGGTGTTGGTGAAGAATACTGATATACCATGGGCTGCCAGAAGAATGAACAAGTCTGTCTTGGAGGAAATATAGCCAGTGTGCTCCTTAGAAGCAAGGATGGCAAGACTTCGTCTCACGTACTCTGGACATGTTATCAGGAGGGACCAGTTCCTGGAGAAGGACATCATGGTTGGTAGAGGGTCAGCAAGAAAGAAGACCCTTGATGAGATGGACTGACACAGTGGCTGCAACACTGGGCTCAAACATAGCAACAATTATGAGGATGGTGCAGGAGTAGGCAGTGTTTTGTTCCGTTGTACACAGGGTCACTATGAGTTAGAATTGACTCGACGATATCTAACAACAGTCTTTACAGGAAATCAGCAGGTCTTTCTCCTTCGGAGCAGCTAGGTGGGTTTGAACTGCCAACCTTTCAGTTAGCAATCACAAGGACTCTTTACCACCCTCTATGTACCTCATGAGAACTACTTGCACAGGATCATGAGAACTGATTTATTAAAGCTGCAGTCTTCCCATTCTTTGTATCAGCTCTCATTCTCTTAAATTCCTTTATCTTCTGTACATCCTTCAAAACTCAAGACTAAGCTTCCTCCTCAGAGAAACTTCCAAAGCTCCTCTCTCTCAATCTGAGCTAGGTAGCCTTCGTTTGTTCTCTTTATAGTAGCCTTTAGTAGCATTCAGTTGGTCCTCCATATCTGCAGGTTCCACATCCGTGGATTCAACCAATGGGGGATCAAAAATACTAGGAAAAAAGAAAGTTCCAAAAAGCAAAATTTGAACTTGCGGCACATCGAGCACTACACTGAATCCATGCGAATGAAGTGATATGTAGGCATACCCTGCTGTAGCCTTCTGCCATTTCCCAGATCCTCAGTCTCTCTCCAGCACTCGTTATTTGAGCATTGTTCACCTGGCATCTCATTTGTTTGCTATTTGTGTTGTGTGCATCCTTTGTTTCTGCGAAAAAATGGCTCCTAAAAAGCAATTAAGTGGTCAAAGCAATCCCCTGAAGGCTAATTGTGAGGGAGTTGAGGAGAGTGAGAGGAAGGAGTTTCAGGCTAGTAAGGGATAATTGGCTAGCCATGTTAAGCACTAAAGCCTCAAGAACTTCAAGATCATGGGAGAATCGGCATCCGAGGCAGCATCAGGGTTCCCAGAAGAGCTCAAGAAACTCACAGAAGGGCTACCTTCTACAGCAAGACTTCAATTGTGATCAAACAATTATTTAAAGTATACAGGAGGATGTGCATAGGTTATATGCAAATACTACTCCATTTTACATAATGGACTTGAGCATTCGCAGATTTTGGTATCTGTGGGGGTCCTGGAACCAATCCCTCGTGGATACAGAGGAACCTTTTATTTACCCACCCACTGTCGCCATCCGTGAACTCAAAAAGAGCAGAGACTAGTATTTTTTCTCTGTAACCTGAGTACTTAGCATACTCCCTGGAATTTATTATGTGTTCAATAAATAACTGTTGAATTAATTCCACACCTAAACACCTACCATGTTAACTCTTCCTTCCATGGTATTTATTACAATGCTTTATATTTAATTTGACTAGCTGGAATCGACTTGACGGCAACTGGTTTGGTTTTTGTTTTTTTGGTATATGCTGATAGGAGCCCTGGTGGTGCAGTGGTTAAAAGCTTGGCTGCTAACCAAAAGGTTGGCAATTCAAATCCACCTGTCATTCCTTGGAAACCCTATGGAGCAGCTCTACTGTGTCCTACAGGGTTGCTATCAGTTAGAAACGACTGGACAGCAACGGGTTTGGTTTGTTTGTTTGTTTTTATATGCTGATAAATTCCAGTATTTGGGAGCAAAAGTTTTTGTCTTTGTAAAAAAAAGAAAAATAGTACATTAATGTATTGTATGACAGTGTTATAACAGGGATATAACCTAATTTCAGGAATGACTCAATGTGTACATACATCACGTTTCCCAAATCAGTCAAAGTTAGAAAATAATTCTTCAGCTCTGATAATGAAACAAAGCATCACTATTATCTTGAGAAAACTAAAGAGTGAAGTAAATCAAGTAGGAAACAAGAAACTACAAGGAAATCTACAAAACCTAAGTGTTTGTAGTACTTCAAAGTTGTCAGTAAGGCAAAAATATTCAAGAAGTTTCTATTTGATATTGGACTGCTTTGGCACTTTGTCTCTCACTGTTGTTATTGTTAGGTGCCATCGAGTTGGTCCCAACTCATAGTGACCCTAGAGGATAGAGTAGAACTGCCCTATACGGTTTCCAAGGAGCGACTGGTGGATCTGCACTGCCTATCTTTTGGTTAGCAGCCGAGCTCTTAACCACTGTGCCACCAGGGCTCCTTTATCTCACTGGTACTTATTTTCTACAGGACAAAATTGGCACATACTGTTCATTTTAATAACTATATTGTTTACCATTGTTAACCTTATCTCCCCCAAATGAGACCACTTCTATTTCTATAGGTCTAAAATGACAAGATTACATCTAAGCAGACAGCATTCAACAGCTAGTTAACGAGTGATTTAAAGATCTATACTGGTGAAGATTAAAGATGAAAGCATCTAAACCTTAATCAAAACGTTCCAGCCAATACATTGTTAAATAGTACAGTTGTTTTTTTTTTTCCCTAATAAAGTTCGATGCATTTAAAAACTACATTGTCAAAATCAATAGTAATGTAATAGTGCAGGTATGATTTGAGAGTCCTTTGTAATTTAGACATTTGTCAACTATGAACGCCTTTAAAAACAACTCACCCCTCACCAGTTCAGTTTTGAGAAAGTGTTTAAATTCAAAGGCACAGCTCTAAATTACATGTTTTTTTCCTGCACATAAAACTCTTACTTTAATTTAAAAGCTCTCAATTCAGAGTTCACAAATAACTAGAAACAGAAAGTACATACATATCGAATTCTTTTTATCATTTTTTAGGGGAGGAAACCTAAAGTATTTTTTGTTATTTGCAGCAGCTCTAACAGCAAACCACAATTAAATGTGTGAACAAGGTTGTCAGAGTAACACTTGTCATTCACACCGCTTACAGAAAGGCGCTCCAAGACTTCCAGCAGCCCTAATTAAAATTAACGAAATCTTCTCACAGGGACTTTTCAGAGAGGTACATTTTGTCATTTGCTGTTTCAAACAGAGGAAAACCCAATTACCTCAAAGCTCAACATTTTTCACTCCAAGGTCTAAATCTACCCACCTACCACTAGCACTGACGAACGGAGCCTAGACTCTCAGCAAGCAACTCATTAACAATTCCAATTGCTTCGATATATAACATCGCCATTCAGAAAAAAATTGCTCAGGGAAGGTGGAGTGAGCTTTCTCTCAGAAATCAGAAGAGAAGGGGGCAGGGAAAAGTATCTTCTTTACTTCTCTTTACAATCAAGCGGAGAAAGGGGCAAGCTCCTACTAGCAATTTCTAGACTAGCCCTGAACGGGCTTAAGGCTTCCCCATCGTCTTCTTTAACTCAACGTGAATAAACGCACTCAAGAACACTGAATATTACCCACCTCTGGCACCAAAGAAGCCGGATCGACTCTCACCCAAGACTCAGCTGGCCCTTTTTCACCTGGGCCCCGCAGAAGTCCGCCAGGGCTTAGGCAGATCGCACTTTTCAGCAACGCGCCTTGCGATTGGCTAACTCGGAAGAGACTTCTCCATCCTATTGGCAATTACAGCTGCGGTAGCGGCAAGGAGGCGGGAGTTTGGGTCTGGTTCTGACAGGCGGGCCGCAGAGTTCCCAGAGTTCCTTCCTATTGGGGCAACACGGGAGGGTCCAAGATGGCGGCCGTGGAAACTTGCGGCACCGGCGCCGGGGGTACTGGGTTTATGGCGGCGGCAACGAGCAAGAACAACGTGACCGGTTTCCAGAGGAAGGGTCCTAGAGCCGGGGGTACCGACAGCAGTGGCTCTCGTCTGGTGTCCATCGCGGGCACACGACCGTCGGTGCGGAATGGGCAGCTGCTGGTATCAACCGGGCTTCCAGCCCTGGACCAGCTCTTAGGTCGGTTCGGAACGGAGATCCAGGTTCAACAGAGGGGAAGCTCAGGGGGGGAACCTACCGAGAGATGCACTCTGACTCCACATCCCTTTTTGACCCTTCAGCCTTCCAACGTGGAGAGAATAGCGGGGTCTGATATTGAGAAAGGGGAGGAAGGGTTGCGTGGAGACTCAAACCTGTTTTAGTGCCCCGAGTGTCTACTCTCGTTCTCCGCCCATCATTCAGTTTCCAGATTACGGCGAGATACCTACATGCTTTTACCCCTGACATGCTTCCTAGTCAAGGGGAAGAATTAATGTCTGGAGACAGTTTGGTCTTCTTCTAAGATTCCCCCTTCCTATCTCTGGGTGCACCCTTCTGCCAATCCTGGGTAGTTCACGCCTTGGACTAACCTAATAAAGTTTTTTTTATCATTCTGAGAGACAGGCTTCCATAGAAAATGCTGAAAAAAGTAACATCCCCCTTGTCACCGCCAGGCTGCTCATTTCCAGGTTCTGAATCTTATATTAGCTTTAAGAGAATGTATGTCGAAGGTATATGTTGACCCAAAATAGTTAAAACCTGGACATTTAGAGAGGCATACCTATATCCGCATTAAGTATATGTGTATATGTATTTGTTAGTTTCTTACAATATATATTTTGCCTCGTAGAGTTGATTGCTGCATGCCAAACATATATTTAAACTTAATACATATTTTAACGAGAAAAAGAAGGCCGGTTCTTAGGTTTTCCTTTATAACCTCTGGAATTTTGCATGAAGAGCCTGCTAGAGCATATGCTTGTTTCATAGCTGTTATGTTGAAAGGATTGGCCAGATTAGATTGGTTAGGACAGAGTTGTGTTTGTTAATAAAGCTTGTTGATTAGTTGGTTACTATCTGGAATGCTGCTTCATTAAACGTGGTCTATATTGTATATTTCATAACTTTTTAAAAAATGTGTCATATATGTGTGTTAAATCTTGTACACTTTCGTAAGATACTGCAAATGCCATTGCTTGTTCTTGTACTTCACTTGACATTTTCTCCCTAATTTTTCCCACAACGAATGCTTTTCAAATGCGCTTAGTGCAGAGGAAAGTGACAAGGAAAGCAACCTACGAGAGACAGTATGGCTTTTTGCCCTCTGTTCTTTCATGACCTAACAGGATCCTGGGGTTTTTCCTGCATAAATTTTAGTATTTTTCACTGAATTGTTTCAAGTCTGTTGTCTTCCAGAGTTGCATGGTACTATAAACAAATGATTCGTAATAACTAATTAGCAAATATTTATTTCACTCCCTCCCCCCTTTCAGCTTCAATATGAGTCACTATTCCTAGTCCTTGATTTTTTTTTTTTTTTAATTTAGTGTGGAGATGTGATTTCATTTACTTGATCCTGAAACTCTCCAAACCAAAAGGTCTAATCATATTTCTGACATTATATCTTCAGCTTCTCACTAGAATAACAAAATATGCTTAACACATTTCCTGGCATTTAGTAGATTTTCAGTAAATTCTTGATTGAAAGAAAAATAATGTGTAGAAAAGAACCCAAACAAGATTATGGAACGTGTAAAATGTAGTTATATGTTTGAACTCGAGAAACAGACTCAGAGAAATTATGAGACATGAACAGAGTCACAAAACTAGTGACAGTCTGGGCTGATCTTTTGACTCCAAATGTAGTGCTCTCTGCCCTATGCTACAGCTGTCTCAAGTTTTTAAGAACTTTTTTCAGGGAATTTTAACCATTTATTGAATCTAAGCCTAACAGATGTAACTATAACCAAAACTAAAGCCATCGCCATCCAGCTGATTCCGACTCATGGTAACCCTCCAGGACAGAGTAGAACTGCCCAATAGGGTTTCCAAGGCTATAATCCTTACGGAGGCAGACTGCCACATCTTTCTTCCTTGAAGCAGCTAGTGGGTTGCAACCGCCAACCTTTTGGTTGACAGCTGAGAGTTTAACCCCCAACAGGGCTCCTAGATTTCGCTATAGTCTATCTTTTAAAGCATCCATCAAAAAGAGAATCCACAGCACCTTCCAAAAGTATTTATACAGAGATAAAAACTTAAACTGTAATTTTTTAATTTTCTAAATTTGCTAGGGGTGGGAGGAGAGGGGCTTCTAGTATTTGAAGATACACAAAAATTAGTGTTCATTAAGATGATTGAAATAAATGTCAGTTGAATATTCTGAAGTATTTTGAAATATTTTGCATGTATGCAGTTAATTCTTAAAGTGCACAGAAGTTGAAGAAGTTATTTACATTTGGAGTAGTAAATATGATCCAAAGTATTTCAGTTGTTAATTTAATGGCATTTTTATATTTTGATTTTCCATTCTGTATGGCCCTGTGAAGCAAATACATTACATTTGTTTTTCATTAAAACATTGTTTGAATGTGAAACAGTTGACTGCTAATGTGTTAAATATGTAAGTATAAACAATTCTTACTATATTGTTACTCAAAAATGTTATTTGGCTCAAATTGTGACAAACCTAACATCACCACATTGTGACAGAATGTAATGATAGTAGGATGTTATGTCAGGATGATGAGACTATACTCTGATACTGTGATTGTTGCTTAAGTATATTTTGTGGTTACTGTGTAACAAGTAAATATTATATTGTGACATTTTACTATTGCTACCATGACGTCATTGTAATTTTAAGCATAGATGCAAACTATATTTGAAAAAAGGTACCATCCAGGTTAATTGAATGATAGTCATTGGATAATATGCTAATTTTTGCATTGTTTACTCCAAAGTATTTTATAAATTTGAAAGTTTCTAATATCTTTTTTTAAACATAAAGTAACCATATTAAATATATTTGTTCTGATAATTTTATTGTTAGATTTTGATATAAATTTCCCAAGTTAGCTGATTTGAATTTTTCTAGTTCTTAGATTTCCTAACCCAGGTTCTCAACTCTGCGCTTCCAGGACATGTTATTATTTGAAGACTGTATGTAGATAGGAACCCTGGTGGCTCAGTGGTTAAGAGCTCAGCTGCTAACCAAAAGGTCAGCAGTTCAAATCCACCAGCCACTCCTTAGAAACCCCATGGGGCAGTTGCAGTCTGTCCTATAGGGTCACTATGAGTTGGAGTCAACTCGATGGCAACAGGTTCCTTCGTATATGTAAATAACATACTTAAAAAGGAAAAGGACTTGATTAGATAGATATTTCTTTTCCCTTCTTCCAGGAATTTCCAAAGAAAGATTATAGCAGGTAAGGGAGACTGGCAAAAAAAAAGAAAAAAGAAAAAAATTTTTTTCTAGGACATAAAATATAGTCTTTGTTAGGACGGTTTGTCTAACCTGGGGAAAATATCCCTAGCCTCATACTTCGAAGAAGTGTTCGTGGGAAAAGGTGACTTCTCAGGTTTGTCTAGTTTAACCTCAGTGCCGTCCAGGACTTATTAAATTTTGACAGTCAAATGAATGGCAGAGGGGGATTTAGTGTGAAAAATAATCTAGAAACAATACTCTGGAAGAAGCTTGATGGTAGCTGCCATTTTCAACATTGATATTGAAAAATACTGGTGAGCTTGTTTCCTTTGCTCACCTTAATCTTAATCTGTAGTGTGTGTTAATGTACATTGAGCTTGTAGTATATTTTTTAACATAATCCTGGTTATGCTATTTTAGCAACTGATACAGGTAGCTGTAAATTTTAGGAGTAGATAGCTTATTCCTTCGTAGTAGTATGCAAAATTATTTCATGTGGTATAATCTACAGAACTATTATCACTGTTCATAACGTTCTCTGTTTTGACTCTCATATTTGTCCAGCCAGTAGCTGTTTAACAATCAAGAGTAGCTGGGATGTTTCATACCTCTTAGAGAAGAAAATGTAGACTTGTTAATGAAATAACTGTAATTTAATTTGGGGTCTGGCATCAATTAAGTAGTTCAGGATATTACTGTGAACCAAGGAAAGAGTATGGTCTTGATTTTTACATAACATTTCACCCAGAATACCTTTCTATAGTTATAACCAAAATTATTACTTTATAAGGAATACTGGAAGGGAGTGGTAAAAATCACTTTTATTTTTCCTGATCTTTATTTGGTTTCCATTTTACTTTCTCTGACTTTAAAAAGGGGAGATGCCTTTGTTGATAGTTAAGGTATCTTCTGGGCCTTCGTATTCTAGTGTATTAATGAGACTTAATTTGCCCAAAATTTATAGCTTAGAGATTTGTTTTTAGGGGTGTGGGAGGTTTGAATTTTCTCCCTTTAAAATAGTACTGATATTATTGTTTAATCACTTCTTACATGGATTGAAAAACAAACCCTTTGTATTTTAAAATCATGAGATAGGAAGATCTTGGCACTTAAGATCTTAAATTTTCTGATTTTTTTTTAAGGTATTAAATTTTTTTTTCTGGTTTGAGACAACAAAAATGTAAGCAAAATCTTAATGAAACTAATACTTTAAAATATTAAGCATGCAAAGTATCTTCAACTGTTCAAATTCAGAATATTCTAGTCTTATATGTAGATAAAATACTGTGCTTGTATTTTTGTATGCTGGAGATAAATAGAATTCCTAAGGAGGCCTAGAAGTAAAACCAAGGAGCTCTTATTTTCTTAGTGATTTAGAAAATGTTTTAATGATTTCTCTAAGTTACGATTAATAGAGAGAAGAGGCAGTAAATAAGATAATTTTACTCTTTTTTTTCCCTTTGTTTATTTTTATCATAGAAATAAGTTGATTGCTTCCTTATCCCGTTACGTATCTATAAAAACATTTTAGTGGACTGTTGGGAAAAGGTAGTTATTTTATTTGGGAACCTTTAGCGTGAGGTTTGTGTCGCTTTTGGAATTTGATAAAATTACTAATAGATTATTAAATTTAAAAGTGTGTTAAAAGCTAGCTTTCGATGACTATATCAAGTAGTTTGTTGCGATTGGTTGTCTTGGCTTTTTTGTTGGGAAGCATGGCTACAAAGTAATTTAAAATACAGCTAGAACCTTGGCATATCAGGTGCGGGAGATCAAA